TGTAGCGCCGTGTAGTGTGGTAGAGGTTAGAAAGAAAGAAAGAGTTATGACTTGGGCACATCAAAAGATAACAGAGAAACAGGCAGCCAAAACAAATGCTGGAGAGATGCCACCAGGAAAGAGGAAGCTTGGAAGACCAAGAATTGATGGATACATACATGCATGGTTATTAAAACGCTGAGGTATAAGAATATGGTCTATGACAGTGGCGAAGTTGAACGCTTATGGAAATGGCATTTTTTTAAAATTTAAATTGACTTTTTTCAGGAGAGAGAAGAGGACTTATTGATGGGGAGAGTAGAAGGAACAGTTTGAGACTTCAGGAAAGCGAGCCCAAGTCGCTAGCCATCGAGGTTTTGTCCAGCCAATCGAAAGTGTCGGTGTCTGTGGATGGCACAACGGTAAGTCCCTGAAGGGCAGTGATTGTCATCGGTGGTTGCTGTGTGATTAGACGTCGTAAGTTTCTATCAGTTGTCTGAAATTTCTGTTGGTAGGACGCAGACTTTGCTATCAAAATAGCTAATTGAGACGAGAGAAATTTAATGTTAGTGTAGCTTGCTAGATCCTGGAGGACGGAGAGGAACACAAGGGACGAGGGATACACGTGATGGTCCTGAACCAGGCGAGTGGCAGCGTCATGGCCCAGCGCGCCTTCGACACATACTCGCCGCACGAGGACGAGGCCATGGCCCTCTTCCTCAACATGGTGTCTGACGGCAGAGTCATCATATTCACCATAAAGGTAAGCCATAACAGACTAGAAAGTGACTTAACTTTGTGTCTAGACACTACTTTGTCTGAATTCCTCTGGTCGATTTTCAGGACGAAGGAACTTTCCAGATGAAGCAGCCTGCGAGAGATCTTCTGAAGAGGCTCGGCTCAAAGCGAGCGCAGGTCATTGGTTGGAGAGATATGTGGGCCATGGTAACACAGAAAGGTGCCAGGATGTTTGGGGAGTCGTACAGCAAGAGTACCGATTTCAACACCTGGGGGGCTCCGGCAGTTCTTCGGACAGAAGTGCCACTAGTTCCTACTGAAGGTTAGATTTTCTTGTATCTGCAAATGCATGTAACTTCTTTTTCACATTCAGTGTCGACATTGCGTATCGTCCCAGATTGATTCTGCTCTGAATTCTTGAATCACGTCTTCCATCATCGTGATGAAATATTTGTAATTGTCTCAATATTTTATTGTGTCATTTTCTCTAAGACGCATTTTGTGTCCAGGTTTTCAGATTAATAGTTTATTTTTATTAAATATTACTAAGTTTTATGTTTCTTGGTCCTCTTGTGATTCTGTTGTCTTATGATCGAGGTAAAGTTTCCAAAATATGGTTTAAGTAACATACGTCGCATACAGCGTCCTCGGAGTCAACCTTTCGTTACCAAAAATTCTCTTTTCATTTTATTCTCTTTTATTTCTTAGCTAAATTTCTCATATTCTGTGTTGCTTTTACCATTTTCCATAGTTTTGTGTTGTTACAGACAGTGAGTGTGATTGGGTGGATACGGAAGAAAACCGACGAAGGAGAGAATTCTGCAATCATATCGAGGGCTATGGCAGCGTCTGCAGCTGTACAGATCCAGCCCCGTTGTTGTTTAACCCTGAACCTGTAAGTAACATTATACTGTAGTTATTTTTCAAATTTTAAATTAATAATTCCATCCGTCCAAGTTCGGGCTTTGTCTTTTCCCAAGTGGGAGGTTTCTTTGTCTTTGAAATGTGCATTTGTGAGTAGCGAGTGATCCGCCCACTGCCTCTGCTCAATTTCTACTCAATTCTGATTTTGTATGCCAGAGCCATCTAGTAGAGAATCAGGAGAGACTTGGGTGAGAAATGGCCACTGAATTTTGTTTACGAAACTTCTCGTTCATGCTCGTAAGGTTCTTTTACATGCCGTAAATCTACGACATGGGACCACCGGCTTTACTTCCCCTCCGAAGTAAGTTGTGCTATGGATTTTTATCACCTTTAAAATCCATCGACCTCAGTCCGGTTTGAACCCACGAACCTTGGGTCGAAAATTAATAATTATTGTGATATTTTATGTCTAGGAATTTTTATTTTCAAACAATAAAATATGTAATTTTTTTTTTACCTTGCGTGTTACTGATATTAGGATAATAATCCATTTTTACTCAATTTTGCTATAGGTTCTGAATAATGAAGTCCACGATGTACCGGTCGCAATCATCGCAAGCAACAGGCCTCATTACTTGTACAGGTAAACAACTTAGGAAATATAAAAATGTTGCGACAGATGTGGAACGTTTGCGATTGGCAGATAATTGTCCAAGTGGTAAAATGCTCATTATTTTTTATCTGGTCTTAACCAACATCGGAATGTTTTGAAAAGTCTCTGAAATAAAATTTCATGGAGATTCTTCCAGGTATGCGTGCAGTCGGATATAGCAGTTTTGATATTCTCTCCGCCCTGATTCAGACTCATCCAAAATTACTGTTCATATGTCTGAGTTATGGATCCTCCATCCACTTTACAGTCCTTAGAACATGACGTCCCTAAATACTGAAGCCAATTTATGATGTCGTTTTCAATATATGCTTCTTTCTGCAGGATGCTGAGGTCTCTTTTATCGGCGCACGGAGCGAATCCAGAGATGATAACAGTGTTTATTGATGGTTACTTTGAGGAACCTCTTGAGGTTACAAAACTCTTCGGACTTCGAGGAATTCAGCACACGCCTATCGGGGTTAAGAACGCCCGAATATCGCAGCACTACAAAGCATCTCTCACTGCTACGTTCAATATATTTCCAAATGCCAAATACGCGATTATCGTGGAAGAGGATTTGGACGTATCCCCAGACTTTTTTAGGTGAGCGCAGTAACAATTCTTGTGGAAGCTGACTCTGTATAAAAATCATCAGGGCGGTGATGAAGGAGGCAGAAAGCATCTCTGAAATGTCAGTGGTCTTCTACCAGAATATTTCGTATTTATTATATAAATCTCTGATCAAAAACCTGAAGGGAAGACGTCACTTGCAAGACCTAGCTCTAGATGGGAGAATAATAACAATAATAATGACTTCGCTGCATGGAGTTTGTTTATTAAATGGAAGGAGCAGATTAATGTTTGTGTACTGCAGTTATTTCAGTCAGACGCGGCGATTGCTGGAGGAAGACGAGACGCTCTACTGCATCTCTGCTTGGAACGACCAGGGTTACGAGCACACGAGCGACGATCCAAGTTTATTATACCGGGTGGAGACGATGCCGGGCCTGGGCTGGATCCTTAAGAGATCTCTGTATAAAGATGAGCTCGAATCCAAATGGCCGTCGCCTGAGAAGGTTGGCGTCACATTTTAATGAAAGACGCATTTTTGTATTTTGGTGTTGTACATTTAGTAAATATTAATAAAATATCTTGGGAAGAGAAATTGTGTAAACTTTGATGGATGAAGGAAAATTTTGTTGTATGTTTTGTTTTTGTGAACTCTTTTGTTTTTTATTTTAATTAGGTAAAACACTTTCAATCAAAGACTGGGGTTCCAAAATTTGAAGCTGGGTTGACTAATACAATTTTACTGTTTCCGTGAGAAAAATACATAAAACTTAAGGTAAACAGTAAGTCTGATGAATTTTCCTGGGACTACTTTCACTGCTTGAGTAAGGTCAAGAGATAATTTTCACAATATGTGTCAGACGCTAAGTAAATTTGAAGCACTTTTATATAACTCAGTTACATAAATCAAATTTTAGAGGCCAGATAATATTTTTGATCTCGATATCAGAAATCTGTTTTACGATGCATTCCCAGATGTGGGACTGGGACATGTGGATGCGGTTACCCGAAGTTCGGAGAGGCAGAGAATGCGTGATTCCCGACGTGTCTCGAACATACCATTTTGGTGCTTCGGGTCTGAACATGAATTCATACTTCCAAGACGTCTATTTCAAGAAACATTCTTTCAACACGTTGCCGCATGTGAAGCTCAAAAGTGTCGACAGGTAATACGCCATTGTTCGTACCAGATGGTGGGCATTTATGACTCGAGGAACGTTTTAATGTTGTACGCTTTTATTAATTAACTCTTTGGAGCAGAGTCTTTCAAAAGAAGGTATTATTTCAGATAATTGGACACTGCTTATGTAGACGTTCATGTACGTTGCTGCACAGATTTGCAGCGTATTCCAATTAATCTTCAATGACACTAACCAAATATCAATAACAAAAGAAAAAGTACTGTTTTCATTTTAATTTATAGTTTACATTCCAAATTATGAATATATTATTTCACGGCAGACTTCGATGTATGATAACGCTGTAAGGTAAAGATTTTTCATTTCGTTCAATGTGACAAATGTTTAATATAATATTACACGTTTTTACAGCGTGAAGAAGAGTAACTATGAGGAGTTAATTGTGGGCATGATCAAGAGAGGATTGATTTTGGACCACAGCAAATCACCGTGTGAAGAGAACTTCATACCAGACAATAAAGTGAGGTTCATCGTCTCAGGCAATGTTAATTGCATCAACTTCGTAGTATTTTATGATATGTTGAGTGTTAAAACAACTGAAGGTACTTGTGGGTTATTGGGACACATCGCTTTAAAAATAGATTAGGTTAGGTTTGGTTAGGTTAGGTTAGGTTCAGTTAGGTTAGGTTAGGTTCAGTTAGGTTAGGTTAGGTTCAGTTAGGTTAGGTTAGGTTCAGTTAGGTTAGGTTAGTTGTCATTTATTGAAATAAAATATAATAACTTTCAAGTATATGTCATTTATCCACACACATTAACCTAACCTAACCTGTTTTTGAAGTGATGTGTCCCAATAACCCACAAGTACCCAACTGAACATGCAAGCACCAGTGATAATTTTAATTGATTATTATAATTATTTATTTATTTCTAGTTACAATATATATATTTTTTTCTCCTTTGTTTTAGGGTGAAATCATAATTATGTTTATAAAAATGGACGGACCGAAGGATTTTGTGACGTGGCTCCAAGTAGCGAAGGTAATAGTTTAAGTATATTCTTCTGGTTTTAGGAAGAACATGCGATCTTTAAAATAAAATAAATATAAATTTGGTTAGTAACAAATGTAAAGTTCATAACATTTAATTAGGGACTACCGCTGAGGCGTTACGTGTAGAATAACTATTTAAGCATGTACATTAATGAGCTTTATATTACCAAATTAATATTCTGCGTCTCCAATTTACTGTAAGATATTAGTATCGTATTATTCCGCCACATTTTCAGTGCTTCAGGATTTGGGATCTTGACGTTCGGGGTTATCACAAAAGCATGTGGAGACTTCACATGAAGGGAAGCGAAATGCTCGTCATCGGAGTTCCAAACTCGGAGTATGCGTAAGTAAAACAACCAGGAACACAAATATAAATATCAATTTTGATGATTTCTGACAGTGGTGTCATCGAAATGAGAAACGTCGCGGGCGTTATCCATCGCCGTAATCGCAATACCGTTGGGCCGAGTTGGTAAAAGCCGTCTCTGTCTGGACCCAGAGATGGGAAGTAGCTCGACCATCGTGTTCTGAATTAGAATTAGAATGATGGATAATGTTCAGAAAATTTGTCTTTGCACTAAAATAGATATGAAGATAGAATGTGAATTAAAGTTAAATTTATTTTTCTGTTATCTTCAGTATAAATGGATCTTACGCTCCATGGGGCTGCCTATAAAATTATAGGTGTTTAGTCCGCGTACCTTTCTCGTTGGAGAGAACGCGTGGCAGTGACGATGTTACATTTGAACAGCGTCATATTTACTCGGAGGCAAATTGAAAAACTGTCGCTGCGCGGCCAATAACCCAGAGTTTTATGTTTATTATAATGATGAAGATATTAATTTTAAGGTAGGTGTGGTTATTTTTTTTTCAGATGTGCGTGGTTTTTTGAAATGTGAAACGTGATTTATTTCAGGAAATATAAACCTTCTAATATTACTCCAGTTTATTTGGAGCCTCTCAGAGAGAAAAGTAATATTAGATAGCAGGAAGTCACAGCATCAAGAAGGTGATTTCATCCGACATTACCTAAATACGAGCCGTCTCCGAACGAAGTGATCAGGGGGTTTTGATTATGAAATTTTGAACGTTGTCGTCTTTCCTGTGCCAATTCTGTATGAAAAGCTTTATACAGAACTGTACTTTACGAGAAGCCGAAAGTATATACTGTTATGTATTCGTTCTTCGTAATGTGTGACAATAAATGATTGTGCGAGTGTGAAGCGAAATTAAATTATTAATGCGAGCGCAGATCCAGAGATCCACGTCTATGAATCTGAATCTATTACGGAAGAAATGTTACTGTAAAAGTAATTAAGAATCCTTTTTAAGTTTATATTTTTACAAGCTGCCCCATATTGTGCTTAGTGCAAAGTTGTTGCTGCTGCTTTGTTAATCCGACAAAAAAGGAAGTTGAAAATATTTTTAATTTGATGTATTAAATAAGTATGTGAAATGTTTATATACGTTTGCTTCGAGAGTAGGATTATTCAGCAAAATAAATTTTATTTTCATATGAAATTAAATTTTATCCTGATTCTGAAAGTAATTGTGTAAAATACATTATTTGGGATAAAAGTATTCCATTCCTCTTTATCTCGCCCGTATCTTAAAAATTTAGAATGCAGACATGTAATAAAATTGAATATTAATTTTTTTAAAAAAATAATGGATACTTTGAACTTGTTTTACTGGCTTCTGTCATTACAGAGAAATATCTAATATTTTATTTATTCTACTGGTACAGGATATTCAAGTGAAATTGGTGTAATGGACTAATTAATTTACAATTATTCATGTTCTTGCATTTTAAAATCACATATCCTTTACTTTGGTTTTAAAATTAAATTAAAATGTATTTTGAATTCCAGAAAGGTGCTCGTCTATTGAAACATTTATTTCGTACATCCATTTATACCGAGAATTTTCATAATAATTGACAGTGCTATTTAAATAAATTTGATTCATCACTGTTATATTTTAAATTAAGATTTTCAACAAATATATGATAAATTTTATACGAACCACACAATTTTGTTACTACATCGAGATCGATGGTGTACTGGCTCGTACTTTGCGTATTCTTACAAGGAAGTCCACGTGAAATAAGTTAACACTTTTAATACATGCAGGTGTTTCACAACTGTAAAATATATTTTGTGTACATCTATTTTATTTGTTAGAATAATTTTCCATGGAAATAGACCTTCGTGCTATTTTGAGGGAACTCAGAATCAGTGTTATTCTTTTTTTCTCTTTTTTTTTTTTAAATTAATAGTATGTACAAATCGTGTCATCAGGAATGTGACTCTAAATCTCTGAAGCGCTCAGGGATCTGTCTGCTCTTGTAAATCTCTGCTATAACTTTCGCAGAATCCTTGGGAACTCGCTGGAGATCCGGGTCATTGACGTCCACGGCGTATAAACCAAACTTCTCACTGCAACAAGAACACGATTAATATATGACGTAACAAATTTCAAGGAATAAAGTAATAAATAATTAGATACGTGATCAATAACATTTCCTAATGTCTCATATGAGAATGATTAAAATTGAGCTTCGGAACACGTTCCATTGATATCCTTGTCTGAGCTTGACGGCTATGTCCGAGTCGCCACGTACCTGTATCCTCTCAGCCACTCAAAATTGTCCATGAGACTCCAAGCAGTGTAGCCAATTACATTGACGCCGTCCTCGTGAATTGCTTTCAACATTTCCTTCAAGTGATCCTGAAATTATCAGCAATTTCCCTTTTAATACCTCGTTACTTCTGCTCGGTAATATTTTTCTGATTTCTAATCCGAATTACAAAAATCATTTTGTTCTTGGTAAAAAGAAAAAAAAGTTGATATGCCATCTGTTACGCCTGATTACATCCTACGTCACCATTTTTATTTCGCCACGACGTCATAATCCTCGCCTCGGTGGACACAAAATATAATTAATGTGACATCGTTAAACAACATTTTAAATAAATAAATCTGGTCCAATGTACACCGTATAGGCGCTTGGGTGAGGGGGATGTATACTTACAGTATAATAATACACTCTGTCTTTATCTGCAAGTCCGCCAAGGTCTGAGAAACCATTCTCAGTCACGAATATCGGGGTGTTGTTGTATTCCTTTGCGATGTAGTTGAATTCCTTGCGGAATCCCCACGGTACGACCTGCGGCACAGATAGAAAATTTAATGTAGATTGATTCTCAGATCAGTTCACGACACCTGGCGTTCATTGGATTCATCTGGCTCAGAATAGGGTACACTAAAGAAACTTGAAGATTTGGAATTTATTGGCAAAATTTTCTACTGTCTTTAATGAATTTTAATGCACAGATGAGAATTGGCAGAGGTACTTAGAACTGTACTTGCTTTAAGCCATGAAGAAGCAGATGAGGGCCAAGATGGATCTTGTGTTGTGATCGCCCCAGTGTCCCTGTACCGCGATGGTACGTGACCTTCAACTCCCGCTTGCCCCATCAAAGCAGTGTAGTAGTTCAAGCCCATGAAATCGTGAGTTCCTGTCGACATAACGCCGGATATAATACAATAAAATTTTTAAAGTATCTTTATTTTAGTATCCTTTCATAAATTAGTTATGTTTGTAGATTTGTTTGCCTTGTTATTGGCCATATGGCTATTGACGGTATTTTATTGTTAAGCAGACATGTTTTATGTCAATAATAGCATTTAACACGCATGCTCAAGATATTTTCCCAACAATTGTCATATTGCAGCGTACCAACCTTACGACATTTACCGTCGTGTGTGTGAGAACCGACATTTTGAATTTTTATTTCAGTGCGGATGAATATAATATTGGGCGTGTGATTTTTCATCCTGTTATAATAATATCACGCTACCGTTGCGAAGGAAATGAACAATTTACCTTTTATGTACTCCACTTCCTCCGGACTGAACTTCGGCAACCTTGACGTTGAGTAGCCTTCTTCTACGCTGTTTCTGTCTACCCTCTCTCTCATAACAGCGGGGTAATCGCCCTCCTCACTGAAGATGGGGTGAGCGTATATACCCAACTGTAGAATAAAAGTTTGCTGGCTGAACAGCAGATAACATTTCACAGAAATCTGCTAGAGGATAGTGGGGAATCATGGTTTTGAAAATTAAGTCATGCAGAAATGCAATATAATTAATCCAGCCCAAAAATCGAACCACATTGCTATGGTATTTTAATAATATTTCGCTTCGAAGGTCATTATTACACCAATTCACGTAATATTTATATAATGTACTTTTCATTTTGTTCAGTGTCCGTGGTTGAGGTTATGTCTACAAAGATTCAAATACAGACAATGGGGCAATGTCCAGGTAAAATCTGTACATCACACTATTTTCATATGCCTCCTGCCCTCCATTATTCGTACTTACAGCGCTGCACTTAACGGAGGAAAATTTATCTTCTTTCGATTTTAGTTCAGAAGTGTACTTACGTTAAACTGTTGGAATTGTTCACAAGCCGCGACGTCCTCTACGGAGACTGAAACTGGCTCACACCAGTGGATATTCAGTGCTATTCCAATTTTTCCTACGAATATGAAAAAAAATATAGGCAACATAATGTAAAACAAGTTTCAAGATGTTCTGAGGAATGCTACTGTATTGCATAAGGATGCTACCTTATACTATTGACTGTACGTATCAGATATTTCCATTACAGTCACAATTGTGTTTCTGTTGTAAATCGTTCCAAATAAATACAATTGCGATTTGCACATTATGTCTCAGAGGTTCACAAAACCGGAAGATAAAATGTAAATATTTTGGTAGTCTTATAGGGACATTTTAATTTGCGGTTTCCGCTGGCAACACTGCACTCCTGTCACTCACAACCAGTTCGTGATTTGAGGCTGTTTCTTCGCTGTCGTTGCTTTCAGTTTATTTGTTTGTTTGTGTAACAAGCATTGTGTCGTTTTCAATAGTGCTGTGTGTGTGTTTATTGTTTTAATTATTCTCAAACGCAGTCGTATGAAGCATGGATATATCAAGATATCAAGCACATTTTCCCGAGTCTGCTGTACCAAGTAAGTCAATCATTGCTTCATTTGTTTCTTTCAATGGCGTCGTTCATCGCAGATTTCGTATGATAATATTCGAACGGGATGATTTGTGTGAGTAATAATGTGGTGGGGCATATTCAACAATGTAATTATGAATTCCGATAACGTTAATAAGTAATTATAATATGAGATGCATAATAAACGTGACATAAGTTTTGCAATTTCTTTCCGTCGCGTGGACATTGACGTGCAAAGCCAATAACATTGGTCTCTGTTCCATCGACTGCGTTTTCTCGCAGTAAATGAACTGAATTTGTACTAGTAAATTACATTAAGCAGCAAATACGTATTAGATAACAGTGTAAATTATTTTTTAGAATTTTTTAAGCTGTAGGTCTCCTACCTCCCTGTTTTTCTCTGAATTCGTTCTTGTACACGTGGTACGCCTTGGCATGGGCGTGGATTACAGTGTGGGCTGTTAAATAATCGCCAATACCGGGCGTGTTGATAGACGGAGCCATTCCTGTATCAGACGCATATCCGTCCATGAAGGTTAGGGGTTCGTTAAAAGTGAGCCACAATTTTACCTACAAATAAATGTTAATGTTAGCCTACGTGGGAAGAGAGCACTTGGTAAAGCTAAGAGTAGATTTTAAATAGCTGGCTGTTTTCTGGGATGTTGCGCCGTGTAGTGTGGTAAGAAATTTACCGACGTTTTACTTCGTACACGCAGTAAGCATCCTGAAACGTCGGTTTGAATACGACGTAGCGTGTCAGAAGACTGACGACGAGAGAACTATAAATCGCAATATTAAAATGGATCTTAAATAGTGTTGGTGTGGGGTGTATTGGATTCATTTGGATTAGGATAGGGTTCAGTGGCGGATTTTTGTGAATATTATAATGAAGAGTCGGTCAAAAGTACATTTACTGCCGAATACTTCATATGTAAGCAAG